AGCTCGCCTTGTTCGTTTGAAACAGGGCACTTGGACTCTATAAGCTCCCTCCATTTTTGCTGAGGGACGGAAGTCATTTTTGTGATCGAGCTTGCTTCACTGTTTGGCACGATTTGGGAAGCTGAAAAGATACCTTCAGACTGACGAATGACAACTATCATGTTCACCTTCAAGGAGGGTCAGCGAACTTTGTGCGATGATCATAGAGGCATCAGACTTATTTCCATTGTCTTCAAACTTCCCATACTTCGGCGACTTACTACTCTCCCTGAAAGCCGAATCACGAAAATCCAGGTTGGTTTCCACCATGGTCGCGGTTGTCTGGACCACATATTGACTCTCCGCTGAGTGTTAGAGTAGAGGCACACATAAAGACAACCGACTTTGGTGGTTTTCCTTGATTTGAAAGGCGCCTTCGCTCTCGCCAGCTTGTTGCATTGCCTGTCCAAGAAGACAGTTCCACCTAAATTCCTTTCCGGAACTCCCGTGTAAGGGTCTACGGGAAGTTGTCCCCACGGTAATTGGGGAACTACCAGAGTTGTCCTTTATCTCCTTTCCTCTTCAACTTACTGACCGAAATGAGCAAAAATCGGTAATTTCAGACTTTACTGGAGTACAAGTTCTACCAGGTGGCCGAGTATGTGGACGACATAGTTCCCTTTGGGTCCGATGCAGTAGCTCTGCTGAACCTGTTGGATAGACTGATGCGTAGCGCTGCACCGTTCGGCATGTGCCTTGCACTTTCAGTGCAAAGTACTGTTGCAGGACCGGACCGATACGCCACCTGTTCTAACTATCAACGCACAACCACTGGACGTGTTGGATCTGTTCACTCACTTTGGTAGCTGTGCCGCCTCTGATAGGCACATTGCTTATGTGGTTATTTCACATATCAGCAAGGTTTTTGTGACTCAACAATCTATCGAGACGGCGCGATATCAGACGGTCAGTGAAAAGTAGGTTGTACAACGCTGCGATAGTGCCGGTGTTCAGAGATCTGTGCAGTTCACAGTGAAGACAATAAACTTCTGGCCATGTTTGACCACTGGTTCTGTCAGAGCTTTGCTCATGTCTGGTAGGAACACCGAGTGAGCTATTTTGAAGTCCGCCAATTTGTTTTTGGTAAAAAAACCTGCCCCCCTCACTCGATTCTGCTTAGGCGCGCAAGCTGATTCGGTCATGCCTTTTGTATGTTTGTTGACCGGCTTCATCGACGTGCATTACATACCGCAAACACGCCCACTTAGGCGAAAGTTCGAGGTGGCCAATCCGACGTCGTATAACGGCACAATGAGACTGGTTGAGAGACGGTCAGGCTGGTGCGTGCTGTCTTCGTGGATGATCCAAACTACTGGTTGAAGACCCTGTCGTATAGCATACCAGTGAACGGTGTGGTCCATTTGAACGCAGAATAAGCGCATGCGGTCCATTGATCAAAGCGTCTCCGTAGGCTAGCGATCGGTAAACCATCCGCTTCGTAAATTGTTTTATTGACACCAAGATTCACGTGATCAGTGGATCGAATCAGCTGAAAGAGCTCGCAAGGATTGACAACGATCTGCGACTTCCATTTCTGAAGCGCGTTATGGTTACGAGGCTGCCCGATCACTGCGTTTGTTTGGGATGACAACAGACTGAATGGCGCGCTTCATTATGATCGTACTCCGCTAGAATATTTCTGCTGCGGTCAAATAAATCCAGGAACGCATGGAACTCTTGACCTTCTTAGGGTGCCGAGTACAACCACAGATTGATTATCTGCAAGAGACCCTTGTCTTCGGCATGAATATGCATTGTTGCCCTATTGCGGTGGATCGCAGCTGACTGCATCTGCCAGGGAAGATAGCTCCGTGGAACAGAGTGCGAAGCTAATCTCTTTGTATCAACGTTAAAGTGCTTCGTTTTCGGGGACGGTCCGAACCTCTCGATTGTTTGCACAGGTTTGTACATGGTCTGAGTCAAGAAATTTGAACCAGGTTGACCTGCATTCCCGTACACTGTCCCGCCATCTGAAACTGATTGTGATGTGACCAATCTGAGACCACGCTCACATTGGTGAAGGAGAGCGCCAAGTAGCTGGTGCTCTAGTGAAACAGACGATTGACTTCACGCAATTTGAAAAGTCTCTCTGCATTAATTGAGTTACCCTCATCGAGTTCATGGCGACTCTCGAGGTGACTTTTTATGATAATAGACGACCGACTCCTATGTTTAAAACCCGGCAGAAATCAGCGAATTTGGTTATAAGTAGGGGATTTTTGATGTAAATGTTTCGGGGTTTCTTCGCAATAACTTCCAAAGCAGATATTCGTCCACATGCCTGCGAAAACACTAGACGGTCTTTTCGACCTCATCAGTATTGCACCTCCATCGGATCCACCAGGATTCGAACCCATGGCCACTAGCGGCTTGCACCGCCAGCCACAGCTTATGACTGAACCATGGGGGACACGGCAAACCATCATGATTTATAAGCTAACTGCGATATGACGCATATCATCTGATATGGAAGCTACTTCGAAGAAACCCCCAACCCTTGATATCGCGGTTGCAAACTTCGCTCAATATTTGGTGTGGTTCACGATAAAAGTCGTCCTTGACCAAATCCACGGTTATCCGAATGGATTGCACACTCGCCTTGTATTCTTGAGGTCGCCAGTTAGAATCCGCGTAGGTGCGTGTGACTTCGCGGTGTACCCAACTCTCGTGCAACTGATGGTGGTCACTTGCCAGCGAAGCGTCGGCACTACGTGCCGGCGTACTACTTACGACGTTTTTGGCGGAGTTACAACGGCAGTCATTTGGAGTGTATGCGGAGATCACAAAGTAGTTTTCACTGTCCTCGCACGAGCCCCTACACCGAGCTGCACGCAGTCGTCTATTACTGGGAGACCACTAGCAGCGCAGTTTCGACTTTGCGGCTTACTGCAGCACCAATGCCAGTTAAACCTGCTGTGACTGCTTCTGTGTACTCAGATCACCGCAGGTGAAATGTCTCATTGGGCATTGGGGTATGTCAACTTAATCACGGTTCTGGGATGTTGCAATCAGGTTTCCTAGGTATTCGTGAGACCTTCTTGTTGCCCTACCTGCATGAATGTACGTATATCGAAGCGTGCTAGATAGAACAGGGCTCGAGACCGAAGCGGAGCCACTGGCCGAGCCCTTTGGGTGTTCACGAAACCATAGGAAATGGAACAATCCATGCAGGAATTTGCTGGTAATAGACAACAGTGATCAATTACAAGTGATCAAATGGGGTGTGCGGAATGTGCATTAGTAGCGGAAGCAAGAATTGTTAGACGCTGTATAGCAGGTACGATCCATACTTTTTTCAGAGGGCGCGACACTACCCGGTTGCCCGAGCCGAAGTAGGTTGTTGTCTTAGCGTTTGGCTAAATATTCTATCTACAGGGCAACGGGGCGAATCCAGGGAATCGCACCCATTGGCATCGATTGACCGATTGTTTGGTTTATACGTCTTTCGTGTGGTGAGTCACCAAACAGGTGCCCAATCCTCCCCGTGAAACCAGCGCACACTTCCTGGAGTACAATGCACCACCGGAGTGAAGCAAAGGACAATGATTGTATTTGGTGGCGAGTCACATCCACCACGTCGTAGTGTTAAACAGACTTCCGTGGCTTTTTCTGGAGAGAACGCTTGTCAGTCGAAAACCTATCACATCTTGCAACACTGTTATCGATCATTTCGCTTGAACGGGATAGCGCCGAACCACCCAGCTGGCTTCACATGGAAGTAGTTCGGCAAGCCAGCCGTTCACTTGTTAACAGGCATCTGGTACCAAATTGTTCTGGAGTCGTGGTGATGGTCGTTGCACTGGCACTTGTTTGATGATGACTTTTGTTGCACAAGCGATCTAATATTACTGACTGAAGCGTGTTACTGAGAACAAGTGACATGCTAGGGACGGCCACCACCTTTTCGTCACCCAGCCGTTAGTTTTTAACTTAGTGAACCACACGTGGTGGTTAAATTCCCTGAATGTAAGTGCTCGATAGTACAATTTTGATTGCTATGTGCACTCCAATGGACATTTCCATGTAGTATTCGTCGTGTTGGCTCACTGATCGGTCAGCCACACTCCCCACATCAACTGCATGAGTTTGAGCGACTGACTGACTCTGTCTTGCATGCTGATTACATAACGACAGGTAAGATCTACGCGATGAAGGTCGAATTCTTCTTCTTCTATCTTTCATTCCGTTATTACATTAGCTTCGCAACTGAGATTAATCGTTACACCGCTTTTTTGATATCGTCAACAACACACCTCTCTTCCAGTTACCATCAGCCTCCCACGCCCTATGCATGTAATGGTTTTTCTCTGCCCCTTGTTTTGCTGCATTGCTGGATTTGGCAAGTTTTCGCCTGACGAGCGTTCCCCCTCATCATCATTATCATTATACACATCAGCTAGAGGTTGGAAACACCTCAGCTATTGTGCCGCAATACATAAAGGAAAAGGAAAATAAATGCTTGTTTGACAACACTGCAATGTGGCGTATGTGCTTGTCAACTAAATACAATTACTGCTCTTTGCTTCACACTGGTGGAGCATTACAGGCTGGAGAATGGACGCGGAGTGTATTTAGCGCTCGGTTAGCAACTTACCAAACCAAAGGACCCCGAGCGGAAAAATCTGTCACCGCCTAATGGGCGTGATTCTCTAATTTCACTCTGTTGCCTTACGGGGTTGTCTCCAAACACAACTCCACAGTGAATAACCGGGTGGTACCACGGTGACAGTACCATTCTTTGACTTTTATTTTTGATGGTGATGTTATATATATATATATATATATATATATATATATATATATGCAGGGCGACCCGAGGCCATTGATTAGAAACTTGGTCAGGTTGATTCTGCCTTGGCTTGGTCGTAGATCGCATCCAATCCATAAGTTGTAACGGCATTTATTCGCGTTACACCACTTCAATTCGCTTTGCAAACTGAAATACTTGGTTTTCCTATCAGGTACGAAACGATTCGATAGCGAACGCGCTGGTGATCGTGAAGTTCAACGCACCATGTTGGAATTGTTAAACCAGTTGGACGGTTTTCAACCAAACCACAATATTAAAGTCATTGCGGCCACCAATCGCGTTGATATACTGGACCCAGCACTTCTCCGAAGCGGCCGACTGGATCGTAAGATTGAGTTTCCTGCACCAAACGAAGAGGCGCGAGCCCGGATCATGCAAATCCACTCGAGAAAGATGAATGTCAAGTACGTTGAGACCCAAGTAGTCTATTAACCTTATTCCGTTTAGTAGCGACGTCAATTTCGAAGAACTTGCACGTTGTACAGATGATTTCAATGGAGCGCAGTGCAAGGCAGTCTGTGTCGAAGCAGTGAGTTACCGACCCAGCTTCCCAGAAGCTCAATGGCGTCTTTGATATACATCTTTCGTTACTTTCATTGTTCCTTTCAGGGAATGATAGCTTTGCGGCGCAACGCCACCGAGATAACTCATGAAGACTATATGGACGCTATTCTCGAAGTGCAGGCAAAAAAGAAGACCAATCTGAATTACTACGCCTGATCGCAATCGCATCAAATGAATTACCGCTCATACCACATCGGCTCTTGTTGGCTGTGTCCCCTCATCCAAGCTTTCCAACACCAATTGACCCCATCGTCACTGTGCTTTTCTTTGCTGTATAGTCAGTGGATTTATCAATATAAACCTACAACCAGTGAGAAGGATACATCTCGCTGATATATCTCTGCACATTACGTACCCACAGCGGAGTTGCACTTTGTTTAGTCTTACTAGGTTATCTATACAAGAAAATATTCGCTCGAGGAGACGGAATGACGTAGTATGTGAACAATGCGGATGTATAGATGTTGGGGTATTGGAATCGAGGTAGTAGCAAATGTGCAGAAATAAAACAGGTGAAGCTATCTAAAGCAAAGCAACAAACGTGTTACTGATCAAAAGCGGATTGTTCGCTTGTCGATAAGTATCAGCTACTCACACACAGATTCTCGTTATTCATTTAGACGGTGCTCCTATCATCAGCTGACGCATTTCAGTCTCAGTTCAATTTACCGACTAAATACGCACGCCGAAATGCGGTGAACCAGGTCTCCTTGACTATGATAGCAAAAAATTGATCTCAGCAAAATGACGAAGTGGTAGAATCGTAGGATCGGACAGTTAATCTCCATGAACAGGCGAACAAATGCAAGATCTCCGCTGACTTCGTGATAATGTCACACCCGATAGAATCTATTGGATGGATTACCTAGCCACCATCCAGGAAAACGGCAAACAGTCGAATTTTTTCGCGCTGTTCTGCTACCTCGTCAAGATTTCACTTAACTAGGCACAGTGTTGGCAAATGACGCACCGAGGACATCGACTTGCTGACAACGTTTGGCCAAGCCACCTAAAGCAATTCGAGCTCTACCGACCACCCAGATGATTCATTCGATTTCTCTTATTCGGGCATTAGTAACACCGCGAATGCATCGGCGTTCGACTGCCACAAATCCAAGCTTGCAGTGCTACGCATTAACTTAGTCGGCAAGGATCCGATTCAAAGAGATCTGGATGAGTCGATCAAAGAACATTCGTGTTAAAAAGTTTGAAGGAAGAAAGGAAAGTTACTTATTGACTGGTAAGACTACCTGGACGCACTCCATTTGTCGTGGGAAACTCAGTGAAGAGCTGCCACGGGAGATGTGGTATATAGATTTCTTAATAGGGAGACGCTCTTCGAAACTTAGCATCACCACAGACAAGCACGACCGACACACTCAAAGCCGACTTGCTTATAATAGAACAACGATTTATGGCGAGTAAAGTTGCATAGACTTAACATGTCCCTAAGTTGATAATATAAGCAATTTGTATTCGATTATTACCTAAGTGGATCGAGTAAAATTCGCATCGGTGTAGCGATAGAATAATGGCATATAGTAGGAAGGTTGTGAGAGTGACGTAGCACCATGCAGAACGGATTAACAAGTTGTTATGGTTTATCCTAATGACAAATAACAGGTTTATGTGGGTTATCGTTCCAGAGGCTAGTTAGGCTGTATATATCCAGTATATCCGTATATGTAACAAAGTGTAGGGCGTTCAATTTGATATCCAATCGTTTCTTTAGAAATAGCTAAGGTGGGAGCATAGTCAGCTGAGTTTGCAAGGGGTTCCAAGGTCAATGGACCCGGAGGGAGAAATACGTTCATCTACTATCTAGGCGACTTCATTGTTGATTCAGATTCAGGCTACCGCCCCTGAGAGGGCTGAGTTTCAAAAGTTGCCGGCAAACGTGACAGAGGTTTAACGGTTTTTGGTAAACTAATATGAGGTCTTTACGTAGCCGCCGTCACCGTCCACTGAACACTCCGAGTATCTTCAGTCGTTCTCGGTATGGAACAAGGCGCAAACACTTGATATATTTCGTCACTCGACGTTGCAGGCTATCGAGCGTTGCGAGGTCACGCTTTAACCAAGCTTGCCAAGCCTGGATAGCGTATTTGACATGATGACGTACATAGGGATTGAGCATGTAGATGTATGCTTGTCATGTCTCAACTGAACGACAAGTAACGGATATTTTCTTTGCGATCGAGTGTGTGGAATTAATGAACTGATCGTCTTCGCATTTTGTTGGTTTAAATTGTTCCTCTTTTGGGATAATGCAGCCACAACTGCATTTGAACTACCTTTCCTGTTCATTATTCCTCCAAAACCCTGGCTGGAATGCAACATTCTTTCTATCGTAATTTCCGTACCATTGTCGTTATTCACCAAGACTTCCCACGAACTTGTGATGGGACCAACTGCAAAAGGTATATATTAGTACTATGTTTTAATTCCTGATACTTCATATTCTTTCTTAGTTCGTTGTTGGCCATGAGTGGGCTGATCTCTTGTGGTGACTAATTACAGCTCCCAAGCTAAACATTTATGCCCATGCAAGACATATTGCCACTGACTCACGGCGTAAAAAGTGCCATACTTGAATGATCCGCATGTAGGAACGGGCTGAGGCTTCATCGCCCATAATGTATGCATAAAACAGCCCTTTTAAAAAACGTTTATTAAACAGGCGATAGTTTACATGCTATTTTGCCACACCGGCATACAGCCAATTGGAGCATGGAAGTGCGGGAGAAACCCATTGAGGGAATACAACTCATGGAAGTAGGTCCCCCTGGGGACGGTTCCATGATTGACCGTATTACTTTAATTGAGCTTTTGGTTAAATGTGCATTTGTTATTGTTCCCATTTTCTTAACCACTCTGATATCTTCAGACTGCCAATCACTTCAAAAACGTATGTAGGCTTCATTATACAAAACAAGCACAATTAACTATTTCATGTGATCTTGTACAGATTGATCAGGCCACTCAGTTGGACTGTGCCTGGCAACATCGAGGAATAAACCGTTGATTTATTTACGTGGACAACGCGGCACTTGTTCACATTGAATGACAGCGCGTTCCTCACTGACCAATGCCAGGCCTCATCAAAGTCGCGCTGGAGGACCTCGTAGCCGTATATTCCCTTGATCGTCCGCCAAACCTTAACGTCGTTCGCGAAGACTAGAAATTTTGGGGTGATAACTCGCCAGATCGTTAAAAGCTAATAACAGGTGAGGCCCAAATACCGAACCCTGCGGTACGCCGCACTCCACTCGAATCGAGCTGGACAGCGATGTTCCTGCTCTAACCTAACGGTCCTCTTGGCCGTGCTCGGCTCAAAGTGTGGTTACATCCTGTGTAGATCGGACTACTGCCCAGCCACCGCTTTGTGTACGTCTGGTACGCATAATTCCCCACACGATAACCGGCGTTTCTTGGCGGAGCCTTCGAATTGGATGTTGCTGTTATTTCTCCTTAGAGTACTGTTCCTTAACCTATTTACTGCGGATATATCCATTTTATTGTGCTGTTCTCGGAATTTAGCTTATATGTACCATTCTAAGATCATCAGTGCTATCCTACTCTGCTGAATTTATGAAATCATTTCGATGCGCTGCACGAAGCACACCTTAGGCCGTTTGTGATAAAAGGGCCAGAAACATCAAACGAATTTTTTAAAAACATGTTGGTAAAAAGGGAAACTTCACTGGTTGGCAATTTGGCCTCAGACACTGTCCTATAGATAGACGGCAAATCCCGCTGATTCTCTCCAACAATGTATGGTCCTTCCTCGGTAAAATTGCTGATCTTAATGCCACTATGATGCGTACGGAATTTGCAAATACAGGTGTTATGCTTCAAGAAAGTTGGCTCCATCCTAACGTTGAGGATGAGATTCTTCTACTCAATGACTAACGTGCCATTAAGACCGCGAAACCTGGAAAGCCGCATAATCATGGAGGAGGCGTCATCAGTTACATCAGCTAACTGTGGTATGAATCGATAGCCTTGTTGTTTACATAACATCAAAGGTTAGCTGCGATTTAATTGTATATAAGCCAAATTTGTTGAACGGTTTTCTTTCTGTAATCATTGGAAATGTCTGTATAGATCCTGACACATCACCATATGAGTTGAAGAGCTTTGCCGATTATTTTTCCCCAGCGTTACTGTCCCCAATTGAGAGCTCTCTCTGTATCGTTGGTGATTTCAACAAGAGTGACACGGCATTCATCACATCTCTTGATCTAACATATATGATGAACTTAGAAACCAGACTGAATGCACAGTCTTCACAAATGAAACTCATTTGTTTTCTACATTAAAAAGAGCTCCTTTCGGCAACTCAAATCACTGCATTCTGCAGGTTTGCCCAGTCATATACTGCAAGATCTAACTTGTCTCTGACAAAGAAGCCATTCAAAACCATCAGACGGGGGGACTGCTCGACAGAAAATATTGCGAAACTCCAAGTGATGTTGGCCTCAACTGACTTCAGTTTCCAAGAACGAAAATTTATCTTTGGAATGTGACCACTTGACTGAATAGATTACATTCTGCTTCGATTTGCACTGCCCTGTTGAGACCATCTGTCTACGAATAGGTAGATTTTCTTCGCCGCTACTTCAACTTAGGTGAAGCTTATAAATACAAAGTGAGCTCGCAAGTTAAAAGGCTCGGGCAATCAAATCCAAGATCAAAGGTTGAATCCCCCATACATTGAGACAGTGCTGGGGTCTCACGATTGTCGCGATCTCTGGACACTTTTGAAACACCTATGTGGACCAAGTACCCATAAGCGCATTGATAACGTGGATCAGTGGAACAATGGTTTTATAGGGTAGAAAAGCTAGTGCTTAACAGGATGTTTATGGTGAAATTTCAAAGTGTAAAAATCTGTCAGCAACATTGGGTTTACACCAGTGAACTCACTGAAGTGTACGTAGTGTAGACTGTAAATACAAGGTAAATCCATAATAAATGACGGCAAATGGGACATTTGTAAAAATCGTGTCTCCTGGTGTACGCATAGAGAAGGTGAAAAACGCGGAACGAAATCTGTGATTTGACCGCCAATGAAATCACTTACGGGCGCTTGTTTTTATCCATCGGTAATGAGTCATGCGTGATGGTGCAGCGAAATAATTGCACGGTCAACTCCGGCTTTGAACTCTGCCAGCGTGGGTGCACATATGGCAGATTCCGGTAGGGCATTCCACGTACAGCAAACACGTACTGAAATGACATTCCTGGGGCATTCCAAGCGAATGTGCTGCTCCGCCAGTTTGAGATGGTGCCCTCTCAAATTGCTGTTGCGACTGAG